AAATTTACAAAATATTAATTATATAGAAACACAGGTAGGTTTTTAATGAGCTTGCAATGCTGCCACTTTGATTGCATGTACAATATTTTTCATTTTATTGTGATTTTTTTTTAGTGTGTGCATACATTCGGTTTTTTGCAGTAACAAAAGCGGAAGTAAAAATAAAACTTTCTTATTTCAGATACTATGGTTTGTACTGGTTGCTGTGCAACTCTTGATCATATTGTGACATATTTGTTTAAACAACTTTATCAAAAAGGTACATTTTAACAATAATTATGAATAAAATATAGCGTGTTTTCTACAAAATTATATTGATGTAAGAAATTATATCATAATTGTATATATTTTTAGGATATCCAGGAAGGAAAAATGCAGTTGTTCCTGGAGGAGGAGAATTATTTTTACAAGTATTGAAACAGCATCCTGAAATACTTCAACAAATTTTAAGTACTGTTTTAAATGTGATAATGTTTGAAGATTGTAGAAATCAATGGAGCATGTCTCGTCCTTTATTAGGTCTCATATTGTTAAATGAAGACGTAAGTTCACAATAATGAGTTTCATTATATAATGTAATTCTTATATCTTCTCTATATTTTTTTAATATCTTCTTGCAGTATTTTAATCAATTAAGGGAAAATATTATTAGAAGTCAACCAGTTGATAAGCAAGCAGCGATGGCCCAATGGTTCGAAAATTTAATGAATGGGATTGAAAGAAATTTACTCACAAAAAATAGAGATAGGTAAGAGAGCAAAGTAGTATCGGCCACTTTTGATGTAGTTATAATATATTTTTACGTTTGCTTTTTTAACTTTTTTATTTCAATGACGAACGATCTTTGTTCTTATGTTACGTGTTTTATCGGATTTATATCTAGTAGAAGATTCAGTTAAATGGAAACATTTCGCATTATTAAATTGCATCGAATATTCATATTCATATTTTTTATTTATTCAACATCTTATTTGCTCGTTTTATTACTTTAATCTTTATTAATTTTTATTAACTTTGATATTAATCTTTGATATTTTTTTCCTTTTGCAGGTTTACACAAAATTTATCAATGTTTAGAAGAGACATAAATGACGCCCTAAAAGGACCTAATATATCAAATTCAGTCAATGATATGATGACTTCGTAGTAATACTGCTCTCTCTGAATTAGATTCTTCTAGGTTCTTGCCTGCCAAATGCTTGAATGTGTGTGCGAGTGAAACTCTAAATTTAATGGTGAAATTAAAATTATGGCTTTAGATGAGTATAAAGATAATAAATATTATCGTTTTACCTAAACATCATCACTGCTTGGCTTCCTATTCTTTGTGACTGTCTTTTTAACAGTTATATGCATATTGATTTTCATTTTTCATGCAGTTTCATTAAAAGAAAAGAAAATTTACATTTTATTTTCTTTTATTGTATAGCCCTTATGAAAAAGATTTTGGGCATTAATATAAGTTTTAATACTTCCCTTTGTCCCAACGTAATTAAAAAAAATTAAATATTTTTTTTTATTACCTTTATACTCGAATTTTTTAGCCCCGTCAAACAATCGAAGTTAAACATTTTTATGCACATATATGAGTAGCAAGAATTGGCAAATTATTATATAATGTTTTATGAGTATACAACAAAATACATATTTGAATTTCTCGAAACAAACTGTCTCTATATTTTTCATTCAAAATATCGTACTTATTTTTATGATTTTTATGGAAATAAATAACTAAAAATTCAATAGTAATTTTTTAAAATAAATTTAAATTGAAAGCAAGTAATTGTTTTATTTTAAATCTATATTGATATATTATATATAATTTTTTGCTACGTAATTATTTGTTTTTAAAAATTATCTTTAGAGATAAGTATGATCTATATTGAAATTAATTTCGTATCTAAAATAATAAGCATAAAGACATCTGTGTCGCTTTTTCTCATATTATTGTCGCGAGCATAGATGATTTTTTTCACATAGATTTTTTAGAATCTTTTACAAAGAACATGTTTTATTTTAATTTAAAAATCTATATAATTTTTATTATAATCTCGGGGAGAAAAATTTCGTGGTTTGTCTAAAATATTTTGCTAATTTTAATAAACTAAATGGTATTCACAAATATCGAGTCTTTGCATCTATTATTTTGTCAGTAAAATATTTTTCAATACCGTATGCATTTTAGAATAGGAAGCCAATAACATTATTTTTATTTACAATGACACATTCTTCGTTCGATCTTATTTTCGAATCGCGGACCTCTATTTGTTTAAGAATGTTGTGCAAAAAAACGTGCGGCTTAAAAAAAGCCATTTGCAACTTTACAGATTCTTATATTGTAAAAAAGAAAGAGAAAAGGAGAGAGATGGAGAAAAAGAGAAACGAGAGCAAAGACCCGAATCGCGAGACACTCATTACTTAAAATTTAATCGACTAAAAAAGCTGCTATGAAGCTATATTATCCAGTGAGTTATGAATAATGTGAACGATGTAAATGAGGATATCATTAAATTTATCATAAAAAGATTCACTTAAGAATACATAGTTATTATATTACGTTTATTGACATTATTTCATCGAGAAAAGGAAGATAGACGAACGAAATAGATATTGCGAAACGTTAAGTAACATTCGTTAATTTTACTATATAACTTAAAAAAAAAAAGATTATATGTAATGCAAATTCGCATTTCGAGAATTGTCTGTCTAACAGCATTGTCTCAGTCGTATCTTACATCACCAACTTCTATATTAATTAATATTTATTGAGTTAAATTTTCATTGACGGATATAAATAAAATATCTCAAATACTTGATATATTTTATAACAAAAAAGTCTGGGATGATCAAGAAATCAAACAATATTGCAAAATGGACAGGATAAAGGTATCGATTCTGTATCGAAACATTTTTAATCATCCTCTTTTATTGTAAATATCGTTTGCAAAATCATTGGCCATAGGAGAGAGAGAGAGAGAGAGAGAGAGAGAGAGAGAGAGAGAGAGAGAGAGGAAACATTCCTTTATTTTTTTATACGTATATATTCCATCTTTTATAACATTTTGTAAATTACTTTATAAGCTTCGTAAAAAATCTACATGCCCGTCTGCGAAGAGGCAATAAGATATTCTCTTTGAATTTACTATATACTCGTGCTATAATTTACCAATGCTTTTTTTTTTTAACGGTAATCTTCTTTGGAACAGAGTTGCAGTTGAGGGCTTTCTAAATGCCGCAATCCCCAGGATCATGTCCCACCTAAAGTCTATTCGGTGCTCTACAATTAGTGAAACAATCAAACGATATTAGAACGTCAAAATCCAATTCAGCCTGTGTCTCTTTGTAATGACTGTGTGATAAAGTTACACGTATAATATTTTCTATAATTGCAGATCGTTAGGCGAAACTGACGCTGATTGCAGTTTCGTGATTCTGGTAGTGAAACTACCCCTCACTGCTCGTAGGTACCGCGTATGCTACTATTCTTAGCGAGTTGTTGTATTACACTGTGATAGTGACGCCGTGTGAGTACATTATTGTATTATCTGTCGCTCGATCTCGTTCTCGGCGAACGAAAGAGAAAAGAAAAGAAGAGAGAAAAAAAAGTATCGCATTGAATATAAGATGTACCTGTAAAGACACGATTTTTTCCACGACGCGGTACAAATATTGCGTTCCAACAGTCGGATACCACAATCTCGAGCTGATATAATGATCATCTCAATTCATGCCCAACAAAACGTTTCGAACCGCTTTTTCGAATTAATGATGACTTAATTTGACAATACGATATATCGAGAGAGTACCCAGCGTTGCGTTGCGTTGCGTTGTATTGCGTTGCGTTGCGTTACGTTGCGTTGCGTTGCGTTGCGACTGTAGAGCCCGCATGAGCTTATTTCTTACTCTTCAAGACTATCGATACACGAGGCTGCGCGATCCTTTTCCGCTGACGAATGCGAGAATTTGTGTATCAACGTCCTCGGCACAATCTCAGTTTTCGCGTGCGTTTTCTGCCGCCGCGAGGGACGTTCAATAGATTTTTATACAAAGGTGCACATAAAAGAACCTGCAACAAAAAGAAAAAAAAACAAACGAAGAGAGAAACTCTACATCGGACGTGCAAATTTTTCCTACGTATAAAATACACAAAGCAGCAATTTTACCAAGATTATACGCAAACCTATACGGGTCGATATTCAGCGCTGTACCTTTATCAGATAATATTGTAAATATACATTGAACACGATAAATTGTTCCCTCAATCCTGAATTACCTTCTTTTTTTTTATCGATCTATCTGCAGCGCTTATCAAATCTTAATAAGAATACTGAATACTAATTGAATATTGAATACGTAATGCGCAAATTTGAAGTTTAATAAGCAAAATATAATCTTCGCAAATAGAAGATATGTGTGACAGAGTGTGATATATAGTAAATATTGCGCTTCGTTATTTTCCGTTGAAGAGTTTCTGTGTGTTTCATCTTCGTTTATTTTCTTCAGCCTCACTCTCGAGCAATCTTGTTTCCATTTATTCCGATTTCTTGCTCCCTTGCTTGCTTAACGCGAGAATAATTTCTTTTTGTTTCCCCTTTTGTTTTAAATTTTCTCCGGAGTGACTCATCTTTTATGCGAAGGGACGGTGACGCTGCTATGACTTCAGAATGTATAAAGTGCGTTCTAGACTCGATGTATTGATTTAATTTACCGAACTATCTGAAATTTCATCAGTGTAATTAATACATGATAATAATATGTTAATGTTTTTGCTGACGTGTTAAAATATGAAATATTATATACAAAAAAAATAGAATTCCTATTATAATATATTACTTTTTTTTACTGTGAGGAAAAAATGATCTCTTACGTTTACTTTATTTGAATATTTGAAGGACGCCACTCCTCCCTTCCCTTACACACACACACACACACACTACCTCCCCGTACACGTACGCATAGATGTTCAATGAGGAACTCGAGTTAGAAAGATACATTAGAGATTTCGGCTGCATTTTGTATATTTTATTACTTCACGGAAGGATCGAACGAGTTAATTGGTACATGTGTGTGATAATTGTAACACGTTATAAACTATATATGGTCAATTATGTGCAAAAACGTAATGTCAGAGCGTATCCTTATAGCGTAGAGACGTTGTGATTCCGATGCGATCGCTAGGAGGTCTGCGGTCAAGTTTTGGCCATTAACTGATGCACCGCCAGCTGTACACGCAGTTCCACGCAAGCGTCTTTCTCCTCGATAATACTACGTATTAATGTCGTCATTTTCTTCTGCAAAGAAACACGTATAAACATAAAGAGTAGAACAGGAACAACAAGCTCCGGCATGGAGGAACGTACCTCGAGTAACTGATTCTCTTTGACTAGCTGTATCATGGCCGTCATTTCGGCCTCGTTAGGAGAGTGTGTCCTCTCCTTGGGTTTCTTTTTCTCTTCTTTCGTGCCGCGTTCCGTCAGCATCTCCATCAGCCGTTTAATCTCATTCCTCTCCTGACTGATGCGGGACTTCAGTAGCGCTTGCATGTTCAATAGTTCCTCGTGGATCAGCCTTTCTCGCAACTTATCTATGACATCTTCCTCCTCAGGCTCTGCACATAAATTAACGATATATGTTAATACTTAGGCTTAAGAAAAAAAAATTATTAGAGAATTGTATGAATCATCACGTACCGTTCGCTCGATCATTCGGTGTTACATTCTCCGGTTCTTGCGGCGTGACTGCTGCAGCCTCAACCGCGGAATCAACCGCGTCTTTCTCCTGTACATTTACACTTTGTTCGTTTTGCGTGGTGGCGTTCGCACCGCTACCCGCCGAGCAAGAGCACTTCTCCTTCGCCTCTTCTACGCCATGCAGTTTGCTGTCTTTTTTTATCGATGTCGAGTTGGTTGACGATTGAACATCACCGGGTGGTATTGCCTGCCCGGAATCTTCGTCTGCCGTCTTCGGCCTCTGCGAGGTAGACTCTACTATCGAAATATTATCGGTCGACTTTATTTCTTCATCCAGACTCTTTTGCGTAGCACCTTCCAATTTTTGAACAGTCTTACACTTTCTCTGTAAAGTGCAATTTATTACTCGCTGCTCTTTATGCGATATGAAAATTTTTAAAACGTTCTTATACACTATACCTTCAATTGCGTTATCATCCGTTGTACCTCCCACAATTGTTCCTCGCGAGATTTCGTTACAAAGCCGGCATTCATCTGCATGTGAATTTGAGAAAGTAACGACTCCTGCTTGGACAATTCCGCGGCTATACCCTCCACGGAATCTGGCAGATTCGTACTACCGGACGATAGCGGTGGCACGTATTTTGTCAACTGTACATTTGGAAACAAAGCCTTGCAGTGGAACAATAAAGCCAACAGCAATCGGTGACTCATTTGCAGAACCGGGCTTAACGTCATCGAGATCGTTTGTGCGTTCATCTTTGTCGTTTTTTCCTGAAGTAAAATTCATCGAAAATGAATATAAATATTCTGTATAAAATATTGAATATGAAGACAAATATTGAGAATGAACATGAAGATTCTGTATAAAATAATGTATTAAATTGATGTAGAAAATTTGTGCCGTTCCACAATCAATTTTTTATTTAATAAAAATTTATTTCTAAAAAGATCTAAATATTTAAGCTCTGACAGACCTCTCACATCAAATGAATATTTTAAACATACTCGCGTCGTGACATTGTCCAGATGTAACGTGACCCATGCCAGAAGTATCCTGTTGCATTCCGGTAACTGCTGCGTCAGCTGGGCCAATTGCGCCTCCCGCTGCGCAACGTCCTTGGTCGACGCGGCCTGCTCGAAGCGCGATATCGTTTCGCTGTTCTCCAGCACGGACTCTGGCAGGTCTCTACATCACCACAATGCGCACTTTTTCGTTTGATCTTAAAACACATGGTGAGAAAGAGAGGATAGAATTGGACAGGTATACAAACCTAAGAAAGAGTATCAATAAGCTCGTAGCTACCGTGGGTTCGAACTCGGATATATTCACCGGCTCCCGGTTATTGTACAATTTTTTCAAATGCTGAACTTTCGACTTCACCCCGGGGACTTTGTAGAGGCCCTCCACATTCATCCCGTGCTCCTCCACGTAATCTATGCAGTCTCGCGCCACCAAGGGTAATTTGACTCCGTCGTGACAACAGCTTCTTTCGACCGCCAGATGAAGACTGACACCGAAAATCGGTTGTTCCTCTGAGGAATATAACATGCATACGTATAAGAATAATATGTATATAATAATATGCAGGATTGGACCTTGAAAAAATAACGCGTACCGTTATCATTATTTTTTTTGTAAAAAGTTACTCGTTACTAATTTTAAAAAATAACGCGTTATCGTTACTTGAGAAGTAATGATTCGTTACTTTTTTATCAATTTTTTATAATACTAAAATAAGTTTAATTAGATTTTACTGTTTTTTTAAACATTAATATCATTATTAAGAATGAATCTCAATATTCACTGTTAGTAAGTTGAAAATGTGTAGTATATATGTAATGAATTATAGATGTTCAATGGTAGTGACTACCGAAGTATAGTCTAAAAGATAGAATATAAAATATTTTTCAAAAAATTAATTAAAAATAAAATGAACAAACGTCAACAGGATATAAAGCGGATCTTGATGTTTAATAATATTTCTTATATGTAATTCTATGTATCTTATAATTCTCAGTTTAAGTAAAAGATGTTTATTAGCATCGAATTATTAAATTGCTTTGGAAATTTAATTGTGATTACGTACTATTTAGAGTTGTTTTTCAAAGATCGACGATTATGCCGCGCGCAGTTTAACTGTGAATTATAAGATTCGCATATAAAAATATTATTAATAGAGTGCGGATGTTCGGGCATAATGTGCGTGGAGAGCAGCTTTGTACGAGTTAGTCGGATGCTTGCTGAAATGAGATAGCAACATTTCTCGAGAAGACTTGAAGCCCGATCTATCTGAATATATCTGATAATATTTATCTCAGCGCTGGCGCGCGGCCTCAATGTAAATAGAGCGCGGAGATTTTTTCTGTATTTTTCTGTATTGATTCGAGATTGTGTAAGAACGCTTTTATTCAAAATGATCCGAAATCTTTAGAGGAAAAATTAGCTTCAATTGAAATTGACAAAAATATTTATGATTCATAAAACTGAGCTTCGAGTCTCCTCGAGAAATGTTGCTGTCTCGTTTCAGCGAGCGTTCGACTCATTCGCACGCAGCGGTTCTCCGCGCGCGTCCCGGCATCGTGCCCAAACATTCGCACCCTGTTAATAATATTTTTATATGTAAATCTTATAATTCACAGTTCAAGTAAACTGCACGCCGCATAATCGTCGGTCTTTAAAACGCAGCTCTAAACTGAATAGTAATCACACAATTAAATTTCCAAAGCAATTTAATAATACGATGCTAATAAACGTCTTTTACTTAAACTGAGAATTATAAGATTTATATATAAAAATGTTATTAGGCATAAAGATCCGCTTTCACCGTGCCCAAACATCCGCACCCTAATTAATAAAACACTAAGATCTGTGTTGGCGTATTCTCATTTTAATTAAAACATTCCACAGTCGATTTAGACTAATAAATTAATAAAAAAAATATATTATAAAACAAGAAAAGTATAAAAAAGTGACAGTAAATCCGTTACCGTTATCGTTACAGATAAAAAAACTAACGATCGTTACTAAAAAAACAAAATAACGAAAGTGGTAACGGCGTTACAAGTCACGTGTTACTTTCTAACTTCTGATAATATGTAAGAAACATTGACAGAACAAAATATTAATTATAAGTATTTATACATGAATTACAGTCTTACCGCCAATATCCAATCCTTCATGCTTCCCTTTTTTTCGATCCTTCAACTTTTGCTTGAATTTGTCTTTATCCTTATCCTTCCGCTTTTCCTTGTCCACATCCTTCTCATCCTTCTCCTTCTTCTTTTTATCCTTCTCTTTCTCAGCGTCTTTTTCCTTCGCCTCCTTCTCCCGCGATTTCTCCCGCTTCTCCTTTTTAGATGGGAACTTAAAGGCCTTGGTCTTTTTTGATTTCGAAGGACTTCTGCGTAATAAACTACATGCTAGTCTCGGTATTACGCAAGACATTCGAAAAGTTGGAATTACCTTACGTGCAATTTGCGTTCAATTATCATTTTGTATATACGCAATGAAGACTCTTACGATAAAATAAATGTTCACCGAGCAAATCAGAATTAGTACAAGCAACAGTATCAAGTCATAAACATTTGAAACAAGTCCGGTTTCCATTTACAAATCAAAAATCGGCCTCGGTGAATGCGAGAGAAAGCTGAGTGCTTCTGCAAACGAGAAATACGGAGCAATACGGCGGATGGATGGCCGTTAATTTTAATTATCAAGCGTCAGTTAATAGCACAGCCTCATTCGTGCGCATCTGATAAACACGGGACAAGTGGATCCGTTAATCGCGCGTTACATTAGCACTCGTGTGTCATTCCGAGAGATGTCAAGCGGCAATGTAAAAAGAGACGGAAATCGCACAGGTTTCAGCGCGAATATTACTTAGTTTCCTGATCCTCGTCCGGCGAGCTCTCACCCTCTAGGGTCGCGTAACCCCTGTCCTTTCGGTCCTTTTTATCCTTGCGCTTTCCACCCAGGAGCTCCTTCTTGGAATGCTTGTCGTGACTGCCCTCGTCGCTAACTGCAGTGTAAAAATAATTGATGCAAGACGGCTATCTCTGGCAGTGAAATGCGAGCGAGAGAGGCTGATGTTGTAACATTAGCGAGTAGATTTTGACAAATAACATAACCTCTCTCTTTCACATACACACACACACACAACATCCAATAGTTTGCCGAACATAACGATGATTATTACGTACAATCGCTCTCATTACTCTTCCTCGCCGACTCGGACGCGTACAATCCGGGAAATTCCTTCTCAACGTCAGGACTCTCGAAGTCCATTCTCCTTTAATTTATGTGCATTTGATAATACAACTTGACACTTGCCCGTATGTGCCCGTATGTCAACTCGAGAAGCGCACACATCTGACATCAATCTCACTCGAGATATTTCGATGGTCGCGAATCGATATCTCGCATTCTCGAACGCGAACTGATCTCCCGTCTGTTTTAAACGTCGTCTGTGTGTAAAGGAAGCGTGTCAAGAAAGAAAAAATTAACTGTGTATAATGTATACAAATAGCGTTTTCGGACGGAACAAGTTTTAACGTTCTGAGAGCGATTAATAGCGTCACCGTGCTCTCCTCGTCCAATCTAGAACAGAGCATGTGACGTCATTAATCGCTCTCGGAGCGATCAAATCCACTCTGAAAACGCTAAAAGATGTTACAAATAATGTTACAAAATAAAGTGGCTCAATATATAAAATTACATCAATTTTAATAGTTTCAGGGCGTTGATGTTTTATGGCGCATTTTATATATTTATAAATATTTATAAATATATTTAAATGCCTGAACTCTAATAATAAATATTTATTAAATTTACGATTATGTATGTATGTAACGTCGGTATAGTGTAATTATAATGTTGCTCATATATTAATAAACAAAGGAAAATTTAATAAGTAATACTCGTATTTGTTCTAAGTTCTTATTTATTGAATAACTTTTTATCTGATTATATATGTTCCTGAGACTTCGTCCTTTCTTGGGAATTAAAGTTTTTGGACTCCAAATTCCAGACATAAGGAAATTCTGAAAATTCTCGGAAATACGATTCTCAAAAAATTTTAGTTAGTTGTTATCTCTTATCTGATGATTATATTTTTCTAATATCTCATTTATCTTTATTTTGGAAAATTTAAAATATTTTTTAGCACGAAACTTCAAACCGTTACAATTTAAAAAAATTCATAAAATTACGTTCTTGAAATTAATTCTTGAAATTTTAGTTATTTATTGTAGTCCAGAAGCTATTAATCACCTTACGAATGTATCGCATAGCAACGAGCTCTCATGACAACGATCACGTTTCTCGTTGAATTTCAAAAACAAAAACTGCAGAATTCGCAAATTCGACGCACACACCGATGCCGCATATGACTCAGATATGATTATATACATCAAGCCTGCGGCCTATTTTGACAACTGCCATCTCCACTCCTCTCATTTCATAGCATCTAGGCTTCCCTCGGAAACGAAAGACGTTCGCTTCCAGGAATGACATTACCTGGAAATCGTACTGGGGAATAATTGGTGCGTGTTGCTCCATAAATTGTTCACTGTTTAAAATATTATTATCATTATCATCATCATTATTATGAATGCTAATATTGATAATTGGAATGATAAATATTAATTTTTTGTGTGAACAGCTCGTGGGGCAACACGCGCCAATTCCCCAGTATGATTTCTAGCTAATGTTCCTCAATATGTAATATATATATATATATATATATATATATATATATAATATAGTACGTACATAGTATTTTGGCTGCGTTCTCTTTGGCGCTTACAGCATCACTTCATTCTTGTTGTTTATCAAATGTTAAACATTAAGGATGAATAGTGCTTATAAGCGTAAGCGCCAAACCGAATGCAGCCATTATTATAAGTTATAATTTGTTTCCTTATTCATCAGTTATATCATTTTAGGACTCGTACAAAAC